TGCTCATGGGAGTTTTATGCGCGTAATATTACGTTGCAATGCGTTTATTATATCAGATGCCTTTAGAGAAAACTACAACAAAAATATATTGTCATCCCAAAGAATAAACTACCCGCCAAAGTGGCTAGTGAGATGAAAGTTATTACCCGCCACAACCGAATTTTACCCGCATTTGGCGGGTGGGCGGGTGCCAATGTCAAGCCCTGATACATACATACATATATAATGATTATAAAGCACATATAAATAGTAGACACTCACATATGTTGTAAAATAGCATGAGTTCAAGATTTCTGATTCTGAATAAAGTATAACTTTACATACCATGAACAGAAGGCTGGCTGGATTCAGCACTGGGGGGTCCTGTGCTGGGACTGATGCAGGTATCAGGATGTTTGGTCCTTAGATGTCTCCACATTGTTGTGGTATTGTTGCAAAAAGCAAGTAGTCGCATGCAGTGCATATATTAAACCCTTTTTGCTTCAAGAAGCTTAAAGTGTTCCCAGACAGCTGACCTGGGACACTTTCCACTTCCTTCCATTTCAATGATGCGCAAAGTAACGCTCAGTGCAGTACACTCAGGTAAATGAGGCAAGACTTTGCAAATTAACTGCAGTTTAGAGGAGCTTTTAAATGTTTCACGGATGTCAGTGGTTAATTAGCCACCAATCAGGTAAAGATACAGGGATTAAGATTTCGATATGAATTAACTAATGTATTTGTATTTTTTATTTTAATTAAATTTATTTATTTATATTTTGAAATTACATTTAGGAATACAGATAACAACACCACCACATATTCAGTTGCATTTCACTGCATTTCAATTCGGGAAGCAGTCCGTGCGAATCGCCCGCGATTATTCAAAACAGTCGGTGACGTAATGGAACGCGATTTGGAACAGTCACGTGACCTCCTGCACTTGGGACAGAGCCCGGAACAATGCTTCGAATCAGATGTTCCACATAGGTTTCAGTGCGTACCGGAACACGTTTCAATTTTGCCATCACTAGTACTTACCAAATGCTGGAAAAACTTCAAAACGAAGAGGTGATAAAACTGCTGCTTCTCTTCCCCATCCTGAATTAACACAAATAAGTAAAGTTTGCGCACTGCTCACTCCATCCCATGAAAGAAAATGCTGGTGCAAAGCCTTATAATGCAATTTTGGGTGATTTTGCATAGATACCCAGGGACCCCTATATGGTAGTGGTGTGCGATACTACAAGATTTTGTACTGATCCAATACCAAGTAAATAAAGGGCAAGCATTGCCGATACCAGAGTTGTCAAAAGTATTCACTAGTGTTGTAGTTCTCGAGACCGGTCTTGGTCTCGAGACCGGTCTCGAGACCAATTTTTGGTGGTCTCGGTCTTGTCTTGGTCTCGACTCTATTTGGTCTCGGCCTTGTCTTGGTCTCGAC